TAAGGAAAGTTCAGAAATCTTCTGAGGCATGCCTCAAAAAAAAAAAATAGAACATGTTCCTGGTGTGGAGAACAAGATCATTTGGCCATACTTTCAGAAATAGTAGTCAGCAAGGAAAGGAGGGAGACTGTTCCTTTAAAGAGAGTTCATGATGAGTAGCTGGGTTCATGACTCCTGTTTCACTCTGATAGAACGTTGATTTTTATGTCTTTTTGGCATCCTTGCAGCCAATATTGCCAGGACATACACAGAGCAGTGTGTGGGGATTCTGACAGAGCTTCTGGGGCTTCAGCAGGAGCACATCACCTCAGGTAACCACTGCTGCTGGTTTATGCCTTTGCTGGAGCTCATGATCCCAAACTCAAAGGCACTTGGCTTTCAGCTTAATTGGCACTTTCAGGTGGAATTTTTCCAGGTGGGATGAGGGGTATGAGGTGTGTTCCTTCTGCAGGAGCTGCTCTCTGTGGAAAAGGAGATGGATGTAGCTGTGCTCATGCTTCTTTCTGGCTGCCACCTGCTGACTCAGGGAGTGAGGGGCTCAGCAGAGATGTTTTACTGTCTGTTTGAGAGCCAAGATGATTAATAGATCTTTTAAATCTCTGTGATTTCTGTTCCCCACACAATAGTCTGATTCAGTTGTGCCCAAGCTTCCTCTTTTCTCTTCTGCCCTCAGATCCACCTTCACATCACTGCTGTTCCTGCTGTTCTCTTTTAACTGGTCTTGCTCTCTGATTTGAAAACCACACGCTTGCACTCAGCTGTTGAATTCCATCTCAGGAGCTGTTTTTGTGTCTGAGTGGGCAGCAAAACCTTTCAAGTTTTGACCTAAAGTTCACAGGCCTCATTTTGAATCGGGGTCAGCTTTAATTTGTCATCCTAACCTCGTGTGTCTGAAGCATCATGAGTCAGAGGCTTTTTAAAGGCTGGCAGTGGCCAGAAGAGAGGCTGCTCTCCAGCAGAGGAACAATCTGAAGTCTCAGTGCTCTATTTTAGACCTGGTGCAGCTTTGCTCTGACAAATGCAGTGTCATGGGATGGGGAAGGAGGGTGCCTCAAATCACAGTCTCAGGCAGGGCGCTGACCTTCCTGGCTGAGATTTGCAAAGCCCCTTGAGTGGAGGGGTTTGAAATGATTTTTCTTTTCCCTAGTGGTTTTTATGACTCTTGGGGCATGCTAATAACTTGTTTTCCTTGCAGCTGTGGTCCGTGCTTTCCGGGACCTGGCCTGGCTGTGTCCCCAGTGCACAGATGCCGTGTGCCAGGCCCTGCCAGGCTGTGAGGACACCATCCAGGACAGCGAGGTGAGAGGGAGGGTGTACAAGGACTGTCCATCTTCCCTTTGCCTTGAGACTGGGGGCAAAAATCAGGAATGCTCAGATTTGTTCTCCCAGCGTGCTTATTCCCTGCCGACACGTGGCACACAGCAGCTGTTTGCTGGTGTTCCTGTGGTTCCCTCAGGGCAAACAAGCACTGATCTGGCTCCTGGGCACCCACGGGGAGAAGATCCCGAACGCTCCCTATGTCTTGGAGGACTTTGTGGAGAACGTGAGGTCGGAGTCGTTCCCGGCGGTGAAGATGGAGCTGCTGACGGCGCTGCTGCGGCTCTTCCTGGCCCGGCCTGCAGAGTGCCAGGACACGCTGGGCAGGCTGCTCTACTTCTGCATTGGTGGGTTCCCCGAGTCCCCATGGCTCCCAGGGACCTGCTCTGCCTGTGTCCCCAGGCTGGGTCAGCGTCCAGGCTGGTTCCAGGTGGTTCCATGCCTTAGGCTGCTGCCTGGGCCCTGGCTGGCTGAGTGTGGAGTCATGGCATCAGGGTGGAAGGGACCTTAAAGATCAGCCAGTTCCACCCCCTGTGCTGAGCAGGGACACCTTCCCTGTCCAGCCTGGCCTCCCAGGGATCCAGGGGCAGCCTCAGCTTCTCTGGGCACCCTGTGCCAGGGCCTGCCCACCCTCACAGGGAAGAATTCCTTCCCAATATTAAATCTAAACCTCTCCTCTTTTAGTTTAAAGCCATTCCCCCTTGTCCTTTGGCTGTCTGCCTGTAAGCAGGCTTGCACTGTGTCCCTGAAAGTCTGTTTTTAATCATTTAGTGTGTAATTTAGTGTTAGTGCTCAGGGGCAGTGTGGCTGACAGGATTCTCTGTGGGTTGCTGTCTGTGTTCCAGAGGAGGAGCAGGACATGGCCGTGCGGGACCGTGGCCTCTTCTACTACCGCCTTCTGCAGGCTGGCGTGGAGGAAGTGAAGAGGGTCCTGTGCAGCCCCAAGTCTGACCCGTCCCTGGGGCTCCTGGGGGACCAGAGCAAGCAGCCTGTCAATGCCTGGGCTCTGGAGTTCAACACTCTGGCCACAGTTTATGGCAGAGAGCGCTGGGCGCTCGCCACCGCCCAGCAGCCTGTGGAACCCTCCTACTCCTGCTCTCCTGCTGCTGGCTCCAGGAACAGAGACACAGGTGAACAAACCTGCCTCACCTTCCTCTGGGAGCCATTCTTCCCTTGCCAGCAGATCACAGAGTCCCAGAATGGTTTGGGTTGGAGAGAGCCTTGAAATTCCTCTCGTTCCACCCCTTCCCATGGGCAGGGATCTTTCACTGTCCCAGGTGCTCCCAGCCCTGTCCAGCCTGGCCTTGGGCACTGCCAGGGATCCAGGGGCAGCCACAGCTGCTCTGGGCAGCCAAGATGTTCTTCCATGGGTTAGTTTGGAGGAAGGTCAGAGTGCTTTGGGAATTTGGTGTGCAGTGCATGGCTGGTCACTCACTAGCCCAGGAAATGCTGCTCCATCAGATGGGCTCTGTGGAGCTGGGAGCTGCATCTCACAAGTGTTTGTGCTTTCATTTCAGAATCCCTGGTTTCTGAAGGGGATAAGGAAGTCCTCGAGGTTCATCCTGATGCTCCAGTGTCTGAAGGGAATAAAGAACTCCTCAAGGCTCATCCTGATGCAGGCAGCCTAAGCTTGATTCCTGATGTGTCCCTGAGTGCAGAACAGTTTGAGAAGACCTGGCTGAGCCTGGACACGAGCTGCCAGCTCAGTCTGCCCTGGTGTGGGCCTGTCCATGCAGACACCATCCAGACAGCCCTTCGTGTGGTGCACATCCACACCATTGCCATGAGCAGAGCTGGAGCCCAGCCCTGGAAAGCTTATCTGAGTGCCCAGGATGACTCAGGCTGCCTCTTCCTCACAGAGCTCCTGCTTCAGGCAGCAGATTCAGAGCTGCAGGTCTCAGTGAAGCAAAATGAAGCCAAGCCAGAGGCACTGCAGTCCTTCATCTCAGCCTTGAGGACAGTCCTGGAGGCAGTGGCTGGACTGGAGTCTTGACTGGTGCCTGCTCCCAGCAGGATGCATGCTCAGAGCACAGGAAAAGTTGATTTCTCTGGCTCCTCTTGCCATAGCCAGTGCTGGTTTGGTAGTTGTAAGCTGCAGAGTTTGCAGTTCACCTGGAAAGCCTGGGTGGTGTGGGGGAAGCTGCAGCTGGGGAGCAGGGCAGGGTAAAGGGGCTGCCCTCCCCTCTCTGCTGTGAGTCACAGGACTGGTGGCATCCGTGGTGCCTGTCATGAGGCACAAACACCACTGATGGAACCAGGGCTGAGCAGAATTCAGGGCTGTGTTTTGGAGAGGTTTTTTTCCTGAGAATTAGAAATAATTTTTAAAAAAAACCAAACCAAACACCAGAGGCACGAGGATTCTGGACTTCTCTCACATTAAGAGAAACAGTGCAGTGAGAAGAGAAAATCTTGGCTCCCTTCAGATTTGTTTTAATTTGCTGTCTGATTTCAGTAGTAGCTGTGCTTGGGGGTGAGCAGAGCTCTGCTGTGCCAGAGGAGGGCAGGCAGGGCACATCCTGCTCACTCAAGAGACAGACCGTGGGTTTTTAATTGAAATGTGTTACTGAGGTGAAAATTGCCCTCTCTGAAGTTCCCCCAGCTCCTTGATTGAGGGTGAGGTACACAGTGAGATTGATCTAACAGCGCTTTAGGGTACTCTGTGAGGAGCACAGGCTTCTTTTAACCCTCTTCTGCCCGATTTCTTGTAATTTTTGTTTCTTTGAAGGATTTGATTGTACCCTCAAATGGCACTGTGCCTTCCATGCACTTCACTGAAACCCTGTCACTGTTCAACACACTTCTGCCTTTCCTAATAAAAATGTGAATCATTCTTGGCTGATTTCTGGAGTTTCTTGTTCCTTCAACCCTCAGGACTGTGGATGGAATGATCTGTGGATCAGGGCAGCTCTGTGCCCAACAGGGCATTTCTCTCTGACCCTCCTTGCAGCAAAGCTTTAAGGCGCAACTGGGCAATAATTAATCTCGGTCTCAAATGCCAAATTACTGCAAAGGGTGAGCCTGCAGGTGGACTCAAAGGCAGAGCACCAGTCAGCTGTAGCAGTTGACAGTTCCCACAGCTGGGTTGTGTTCCTGCCCTCAGGGAGAGCTGATGTGGGAAACAGACTAAAACTTCCATCCCTGGAAAGTGTCCAGGGCCAGCTTGGATGGGGTTTGGAGCAACCTGGGATAGTGGAAGGTGTCCCTGCCCATTGAAACGAGCTTTAAGGTCCCTTCCAGCCCAAACCATTCTGGGATTCTATGTTAAAAGCGTGGAGGGGAACTGTGGATTTTCCGTTCTGTTTTATGGACTCTTCCAGCCACATTCCAGGTTTGAAGCCTTCCTGGGATGTCAATGCTGCACAGCTGCCCCCTGTGCTCACCCCTGGGTACCCCTGGCAGGGATGGCTGAAGGAATTGGGGTGGTGGTGGTGTCCAGCATGTCCCTCCCCTTGTCCTGGGTGCTGCCCACCCTGTGCCAAGCGGGGCTGGTTTGAGCAGAGGGTGCCAGGGCCCCGTGCTGTGCGTTGTGTTGTTTGACCAGGATTATCTGCCACGCACTAATTTCCTCTGGGGCTGTGATGAAGTCAGAAAACCACAGGCAGCTCTCCCCAGCGGCGCCTTCCGCTGCGGATCACTTGACATGTCCCGTCCCAGGAGGGCCAGGCCAGGCACGCTGCGGCACCATGGACCAGAGGGAGATCCTGCTCCAGAACCTGGAAAGGGCCCAGGGCAAGAAGCTCAACAAAGGAGAGTTTGCAGAGGAGTTTTTGGTGAGTTCTCTCAAGGCTTGGCTCGGTGTTTCAGCTCGTGTCGGAGGGAATCGCTCGGTCACCTCCTAAACCTGGCACAGTGAGATTTTCTAGGAGTTTTATAGCAGACACCCAGAAGTTAACTGGGCTAAGAGGAGTGTAAAGACGTGATAGAAATTTAGTCATCTGCATTTGAACTCTTTGCTTTTTAACTAATCACCCGAGTGCTTCCTGTTTTCTGCCTGGTGAATGCACTTGTTGGGACATGGTTTCACTTTGCCGGGTAACAGAACTGGGGGGACAGGGAGGAATATGGAGCCTCTGGCCCTGGTGACACAACTGAGGATATAGGGAGGAACATGGAGCCTCTGCCCTTTCTTCCCATTGCATTGTTAGACCCGTTGCACACGAGTTCCTGCCAGGCATCTCTCGTTTCACCTCGCCTTAGCTTGTCCTTGTTCCTATAGAGCACAGGTTGCCCAAGGGAGCTGTGGCTGCCCCATCCCTGGAAGTGTCCAAGGCCAGGGTGGAAAGGGCTTGGAACAACCTGGGAGAGCAGCAGGTGTCCCTGCCCATGGCAGGGGGTGGAATGAGATGAGCTTTAAGGTCCCTTCCAACCCAAACCATTCTGGGATCTGTGTGCTCTGCATCCAGCAATGCTCCTGGCCCCTCCTGGGAGCTGCTTTCTTGTCCCCTCAAGGCAAAAGCTGCACAAAATGCGATGGCTCCCACCTCCCCCTGTGTCCTGCATTGCCCTGAATCTGTGAGCTCTCTGATATATTTTTGGTTTGGGTGCCAGGGCTGAGGCTCAGATGCCAATGCACCCTCTCATGGCTAAAGCTGGTGGCTGGAGGTGGCCCTTGGTGTATCAGCTGGAGGCTCTGACAGGCAGTGACATTGCCCAGCTCTCACAGACACAGAGAAGGGCAAAACTGTGACATCTGAGACGTGTCAAGCACTGGACTGACCCTGGCAGTGGCTCTGGGTTACTGAGGGGTCTCCACAAGCTCCAGCCCTGCTCTGTCACACCAGCAAAATCTGGCCCTTCAAACACTTGGGGAAAGCTGAGTGCTTGGTTTCCAGGTGTCTGGGGTGGAGGGAAGTGATTAATCTGAGCCTGCAGTGACAGTCTGTTGTTCCATGGAACAAAGTGCTCTCACTGCCGGCTGAGTTTCCCCTCCTTCTGCCCGGTGTCTGTGTGTGTGAGGCTGTGGGCTCTGAGCCCTGCTGCTGCTCAGGCTGGCCCCAGCAGCCTGATGTATTCATTTCTGATCAAAATGGCAGGGGGAAATGGTCAAGGCTGCATTTCCTGGTTTATGGGATAAGATCTCAAAGACACTTGATTTGTGGCTGCTTTTGCAAGGCAGTGGCCTCAGCAGGCCACCATGCTGGCTTATTTCCAAACATGACAGATATATCCATGCCATTCCTGCACCCCAATTTCTGCCCTCTCCCTGTGGGACCAAGCATTTTTACGTGCAGATTCTGGTGATGTTACTATAAATGATAGGGTTTCATTAGGATCTCCTTTTTCTCTTTGTGCAGTCTCATAGCTGGGCACTGGTAACAAATAGTGTGTGTTATTTAGGAGCTGGTGGCAGTGAAATAAAATTCTGTTCTTTACCAGGAGAAAGATGCTTTAACTCCCTCTGAGTGCTGCAGCTTTATCCTTCAATTGAAAGAGATGAGAAGTTTGCAGCCCTAAGGGTCTGTCCCAGGACTCCTTGTCTTTCACCAGTCCATGGAGCCACTCTGTTGCAGCTTCCTGTGCTCCCTTTGTGACTTGAGCATCACTGCTTCTTCCAGCTACAGATGGGAGCATCTCTACCAAAGCGAGAAAAATCAATAGATTTACCTGTCTTTTCTGGCATCATTTGATGAAGGTGCTTTGACATTGCCACTCCTCTGATCTGGGTGCCATTTGAGAGGCTCCCCTGGGCCTCTCTCACTTGTGAGATGCTTTTGTCGCTTCACGAGCCGGCGTGTGGGCACTGCCTCAGCACACACTTTCCATCCTTCACAGGGCTCTCAGAAGGTTCTGTCTCTATTCTTGCTCTGAGCAAAGCCACTCAGGAAAGAATTGATGGTGGTGGCAAACGTGACCCCTGGAGACCTTCATGCGCTCTCTAGTAGGGAGCTGGCTGCAGCACGTCTGCTGTAATTTGTTCCACTCTTTTATCACAGAAGCTGAAGAGACAGTCAACAAAGTACAGGTCGGATAAAATCTACCCCACAGCAGCGTCTGAACAGCCAGAGAATGTCAAGAAGAACAGATACAAGGACATCTTACCTTGTAGGTTGGAAATGGCACATGTTCCTACTCAGCCTTGTGTTTTTCTTGCTTTTCTTGTTCTCATTCTCTGGTGCCTGCCTGCGCAGCTGTTGTATGTGAACATCTCACTGCTGTCTGTTGGCTTTGAGTCCTGCTCCTCAGATTTAGGGCTTTGGCTGCTGCAGTGCCTGCTCTGGAGGACTTTGGCACAAATCAGCACTGTCAGGCACATGGTGGGATTTTGGGGATGATCTGTGCAGGGATGGGAGTTGGACTCGATGATCCTTGTGGGTCCTTTCCAAATTCAGGATGTTCTGTGATATTTCTACAGACAGAAGAACTTCTATTCATGAGGAAGTACATCCTCCAGTGATAATCCCTGCAAGTTTCTGGTTAGCACTGTAGCCACTTGCATCCAAAGGCCTCTGGACAGTGATGTCTCCACAATGTGCAAAGCAGACAGCAGGCAAACCCTGCTGAGGCTTCCCTTGGTGCAGTGGTCTCCAAAGGACTCTGTCCCAGCATCAGAGCAGACTGTCTCTTTTGACCATTCCAGCTTGGAAAAGAAAGTAAATCACAGAATCATTAAGGTTGGAAAAGACCTCCAGGATCAGGTCCAGCTTTCAGACCTTTGCATCTGACCCCACAGAGCTGGTGTGAGCCTGGAGTGCTGTTGGGTGGTTTTGGGCTTGGCTTGCTGCACGGTCAGAGGGGATCAGCATTTCATGGGATGGTGGCAGCACCTGCAGCTCTCCCCTAAAACCTCCCCCACTCCCCAAAAGGATCTTGCCCATCCCCTGTGCGTGTAGGCAGCAGGGCTGAGGGAGGTGTGGGGGGACATCAGCTGCTTGCACAGCCTTGCACCCACCCTGCATGGGCTCTCTGACGTGAGTGCTCCCCCAGAGCCCCTGGTGCTGCCCCCAAGGGCTCAGTGACCTTGAAGAGCAGACACTGACTGCTTCCCCTGCTTTTGCAGTTGACCACAGCAGAGTGGAGCTGTCCCTGATTACGTCAGACACAGATTCTCATTACATCAATGCCAACTTCATCAAGGTTTGCCTCTTTTGTGGTGTTCTGTCCTGCAAAGGTGTTGGTGGTGCCACCTGGGTGGGCTGAGCCAGGAGGAGCAGGCTGGGGGCTCTGCAGTAGTTTCTGGGCTGTACTCAAGGATAACTGAGGGAAGAAGATGAGTGAGCCCTCCAGAAAGCCCCTGGGCAGCACAGAGGCTACAGGGCAAGGGACACACTCCTGCCGGGGGTGGAACACTTTGTGGTTCTCAGCCCCAACTTCCTCGTCGCCTTTGCTGCCTTTGGTGGGTGACAGTGGTGCAAAACTGCCTGTGGCCAGAGTCACCTGGGCTGAAACCAGTGCAGAGGCAGGAAACCTTGCAGGGCTGCACGGCTGGGACCCGCTGCTGGGGCGAGCAGCAGGGCAGATCAGTGTGGGACAGGGCTCCATGTGCAGCTCCACCACTCCTGGGGCTGTCCTGGGCCTGCAACCCTTCTCTGACTGATGGATGGATGGATGGATGGATGGATAGATAGATGGATAGATAGATGGATAGATAGATGGATAGATAGATGGATAGATAGATAGATAGATAGATAGATAGATAGATAGATAGATAGATAGATACATAGATACATAGATACATAGATACATAGATACATAGATAGATACATAGATAGATAGATAGATACATAGATACATAGATAGATAGATAGATAGATACATAGATAGATAGATAGATACATAGATACATAGATAGATACATAGATAGTTCCCTTCATTCTCCATGGTGGTGACCGATGGCCCAGGGCTCTGTGTAACCTGACTGCAGAAGATTCCCAACAGGATCACAGTTCATTCTTTGGCCATCAGCAACAGAGCTGTGGCCACATCACCTCCAAGCTCCCAGAGGTGCTGTTAGAGCTGGTGCTGGTTCTGGGAGCAGATCTCAGCTCAGTCTCAGCTCCCCAGCTTGGCCCTGCCTTTGGTTTGCATACCAGTGCTTGAGTTAATCTATGTACCCAAAATTCAACTCTGTGAAAGTCCTTCTAAATCCTTAATGGGCTTGCTGGTAGAAGTAAATTCAGAGAGAGGAATGACTTTATTTCTGCTGGTGAACTATGCACAGATGTGTCCATGTCTGGTTTGAATGTTCCAGGGTGTCTATGGGCCAAGAGCATACATTGCAACCCAGGGTCCTCTCCCCACTACTGTCACTGACTTTTGGAGGATGATTTGGGAGTATGAAGTCCTGGTAAGGTGCAGATTTATATTTAGATATAAAGCTTATATGTCCTTTTTTTTAAAAGAAAAGTTGCCTTTCCAGTCAGAAGTCCTTTGTTGGGACTCAGGGGAAGGCAGCCCACAGAGTTTCCTTATCACCCACAAGAGATGAGTTTAATTTTGCTGCCTGGATAAGAAACTCATGTTCAGCCTTTTCTAATGAGCCTTCTTCCTGCAGGTCGTGGTCATGGCTTGTATGGAGTTTGAAATGGGGAAGGTGAGTAGCGTGTCACAGATGGCCCTGAGTGCCAGGGCAGGGTGAGAGGTGCAGATTTTTTATTAAATCCCACAGTGACAGCAAGTTTCTGTTTGATATAAGCTGATTTTTGGGTGTCCAGCTGCAAATGGTCCCTGGGAGATGTCACTGCCCATGGCAGAGGGTGGAAGGAGATGATCTTTAAGGTCCCTTCCAACCAAACCAGTCTCTGATCCCATGAAATTCTTCAGCCATTTCCAGCAGCGTAGGGAATCTCTCTGGAAAGGGAAATGCCACCGTGGCAGCTCCAAGGAAGGGGAGGCTGGAGCTGGACAGCAGCAAGAGCTGAGCCTCTTCCCAGAGTGAATTTTGTCCTGAAAATCGCAAAAGGGCCAGTGGGGAATAACCAAACACTTGTGCTTGTCCCAACAGAAGAAATGTGAGCGGTACTGGGCGGAGGTGGACGGGTCCCCCCTGCAATGTGGCCCTTTCTCCATCACCTGTGTGAGTGCAGCCACCCCAGCAGCCTGGCCCACTTCAGGGAACCACAGAAAATCTGACTCTGACTCCTTCTTCTGCAGGAGGCTGAGGAGAGGAGGAATGAGTATGTGATTAGAACTTTAAAGGTGACCCTGAATGAGGTAAGGAGGAAAGGTCAAGGCAGAAAATGTACCTGGGCTGGCTTTGTTATATAAATAATATATTAAAATATGGTACATTCTGTGCAGAAAATTTTACATTGGTCAGGCTGCCGAATTAGATTTGACAGCAGTCGAGGGAACAAAGGAAGTAAAAAATTCATTAACTCAGACTTCAGTTTCTGAAGCTGTTTGTCAGTCATGGCAAATCAGGCTCTGGGCGAGTGGGGCCAAGGATGTCATAAAACAGCTCCTGCAGCAAAACCAACTGCAAACTGCTGCTCTGCCCTTTGCCTGCTGCTGCAGATGGCAGCTGGGGATGGAGCAGAAATCCAGCTCCCCTTGCTGTGCCTGCCAGCGCTTTTCTCCTGCAGGCAGCCCGCACCATCTTCCACTTCCACTACAAGAACTGGCCAGACCACCACGTGCCCTCGTCCATCGAGCCCATCCTGGAGCTCGTCAGGGACATTCGCTGCCACCAGCCCGATGACAGGGTCCCTGTCTGCATCCACTGCAGGTGGGTGAGCTGGCTGCCAGCAGGGAGGGGCTGCTGGCCCCCAGAGCCCCTTGCTCCACATCCCAGGGTCACAGGGACAAGCCCATAGCCAAGCTCCTCTTGTAGGGAGCCCTAAGGCAAAGGGGGACAGCCAGCACGGCCAGGGGCAGGGAAGGACGGAGCAGCAGGCCAGCAATAGAATCACAAAACCATGGAATTGTTTAGGTTGGGAAAGTCTCTTAAGATGCTCGAGTCCAATAATTGGCCCAGCACTGCCAAGGCCACCACTAAACCATGTCCTCAAGTGCCACATCTACACATCTGTTCAATGGTGACTTTACCACTGCCCTGGGAAGCCTGTGCCAGTGCCTGATAATGCTTTTGGTGGAGAAATTTTCCCTAATATGCAATCTAAACCTCCCCTGAGGCAACCTGAGGCCATTTCCTCTTGTCCTGTCCCTTGTTAGTTGGGAGAAGAGACCAACACCCGGCTGGCTGCACCCTCCTGTCAGGCAGTGAGACTGTCTGGGTCACAGACCACCACCACTGGCCATGCCCACGTGTGGCTGGTGACCACAGGAGGAGATGAGCTGTTCTCAGGGCATGAGCTCTGCCTCCCAACCCTGTGCAGCAGAGCCCTGCTAGGGTGGGCTGAAGCTGCAGCATCCTGCGGGTCTGCAGGATGTGTGTGGGACAGCAGGGTCCCAGGTGGCTGTGAGTGCTCTCCAAACATCCCTGTGAGAAGCACAGCGTGCCCAGGCCGTGCCCTGTGCCCAGGCTGTGCCCTGTGCCCAGGCTGTGCCCTGTGCTGTCATTGCAGTGCTGGCTGCGGCAGAACCGGCGTCATCTGCGCCATCGACTACACCCAGAAGCTGCTGAAGGATGGGGTGAGTGCCAGCCCCCCGTGCCCCCATGGCCCCTGCACCCCTCTGTCCCTCCCCAGCCTTCTCTGTGCCCTCCAGCCCCTCTGGCTGTGCTCAGGGGGATTTCAGGGGATGGGAGATCCCCATGGAGAATGGCAGTGGCCCCAGTGCTGATTGCCCACCCCCAGTTTGTGCCACCCCTCTCTCTTCAGGCACTGACAGCATCACCCCAGTGGGGCAGAAATCCCCCCTCCACTGCTCCCTCTGGCCAGGCCTTCAGCTCACAGCCCGTAGTCCTGTGCTGACCTTCACTCTTCAATGCATCTTTACTGTTTGTCTCTCCACACTCACCCATCAGATATTCAGTGTTTCCAAGCCAGCCCCTTGCTTTACTCTGACTCTCCAGTAATGGTACAGGCAGTGATCCCCAGCCTCGGGGCAGGTGCTCAGAGGAGAGCCTGCTCTGTTCCACACCTCCCTGGACCCATCCAGCTGGGAAATTGGTGTCATGTCCTTCCTGCTGCCCACAGCTGTTATAAAAAGGGTATTTTCTGTGGAGGGGGAGTCAGGAGGGAGGAGAATGATTTCTAATAAATAAAATAGCACTTTAAGCAGGCTCTTTGTTAAAAATTATTGCAGTAGCAGGCCTGGATTTCAGGCAGTGCTCTGAACTGCATCATGACTTGGAAGTTTGTGTAATTAGACCTGTCTGTAAATTTTTATCAGAGAAATCATAGAAATGATTGAAAGATTTGGGTTGGAAGATCTTAAAAATCCTTTCTTTCCAGTCCCTCCTGTCCAGCCTGGCCTTGGACACTTCCAGGGATCCAGGGGCAGCCACAGCTTCTCTGGGCTTCCTGTGACAGGGCCTCCCCACCCTCACAGGGAAGAATTCCTTCCCAATTTTAAATCTAAATATCTCCTTTTTTAGTTTAAAACCATTTTGTCTTTTCCCTTTCCCACCAGATTGTTCCAGTGAACTTCAGCGTTTTCAACCTGATCCAGGAGATGCGCACACAGAGACCCTGCATAGTGCAGACCAAGGTGTGTTTGTCACCACTGCTCCATGCTGGCCCTCCACCTTTCCCCACAGCAGGGAAACCCAGAGCAGTGGAGCTGCTGGGAGCTGGGGTGTGGAGGTGTTGTGCAAAGTCCCTTTTCTGAGCAGAACAATGACTTGGCAGAAGTTGATTTGGTAGCTGAGCGTTTCCCTGTGGACAGCTGGGCCAGCGCTCGCAGTGGGATTTATCAAATGCTTACACTGTGAAACCAGGGACTGTCCAGGCAATAAAGTGGGAACTTTCCTCAGCTGCAACAGACTGAAGAGGAAGCTCAATGCAGAACAGCGCTGTTTGCACACCCGAAATCCCCCAGATACCTCAGTGTGAGCCTTGTGAGAGCTGTGGCTTCTGCCTCTTCTCAAAACTCACACCCTGCTGATGGACAGGAAAGGCACCTTCTCTCAGGGTGATGCTTGCTTGGGAGGAGGTGGCCATTCACAGGTGGCCATTTACAGGTGACCATTTACAGGTGGCCATTTACAGGGGTGATGCTTGCTTGGGAAGAGGTGGCCATTTACAGGTGGCCATTCACAGGTGCCCATTCACAGGGGTGATGCTTGCTTGGGAAGAGGTGGCCATTCACAGGTGGCTATTCACAGGTCCCACCAGTGCTGTCTGTCACAGTTTCTGTCTGTCTGTCTGGAGTGCAGGAGCAGTATGAGCTGGTTTACGATGCCGTGATCGAGCTCTTCAGAAGGCAGATTCAAGCACTCGATGCCCAGAAAGATTCTGCTGCTTCACAGGTAAAAGTCACAGGACAAACACGCTGCCTCTTGCAGCCTGGGCACTCCAGCTCTAACCTCAATTCCTGCTGCAGATCTGGGGTGAATTCCCATATTTTCTACTCCCCTTGATACCCAAACTAAGTCTCTTTTGATGTTAACCCATGAGAATCCAGCTCTTCCCCTGAATGTGCAATGCTTGTCACAAACAAGACCTAGATTTTCTTCAGTCTCTAAACAATTTTCTATTTTCTATATATTTTTATGATTGTTTAATGTCATGAGTGAATAGAACAGCACGAATTTTCTGCAGGACTGGCTGATTTCCATGGGGATGTGCCAGTGAAACTTGAGGGATTTTCAGACCAGGTTGGGGAGGTCCAGGTTGGGAAGTTTGGGATCACAAGGCAGTGAGGCTGGAAGTGTTACCTCATGTATGCTAGTGAGGGAATCAGCACTACAGCCTGTCTGTGGGCGGGCATAGGGGGAAATATCTTGTAAAAAAACATGGCAAAGTCTCACAAATCTGTTACACCTCTGAGGAAAAGAAATGTGGTCTTGGTGTGAAGTTGCACGTTAACAGGAATAGCCAAAACCTCTCTGGTTGAGGTTTTCTTTGCTCTTGCTGTTCTGTGACTGCTGACATGAGCCTCGTGCATCAAATCCAGGAAAGTAAATGCATCACAGCAAAGCCTGGAAGGTCACAGTGAGCTCATTTTGTCAGAAACTTTTATCTCAAAAATTGGGAAGGGGATCCTGCCATGGGACTCATGCCTCAGTTTTGCCATAGGATTTGCAGTTCGTTCCAAGCCAGAGCTGAGTGAGAAAAGAACCCTAAAAAGCCTTTTTGGACTGGTTAAGGACAGTCTGTGAGCAAAGGTCACACAGGGCTGACACAAAATGAATGCAGAGGACTTTTCAAGTCAGGATGTGGTTTTGTAGCTGTTGCCCAAACCTCTCGCTCCCCTAAACCTCCCTGTCCTCTGAGGACACTGTGCAGAGCAGGGGGATGGCCATGAGCTGGTGTCATGCACAAAATCAGCACCCAGCTTGCCCAGTGTGGGCTCCTGAAGGCAAAGTGTCTGCACAGGCTGCCTGCCAGCTGTTTGGCACAGCTGGATGGTTGTGGGGCTCACTGTACTCTCATTTCAGAAAGGTGCTGGCAGGGTTGCTCTGCAGAAAGTTCTGCTTGCAGTTTTCAGCTCCTCCTTGGTGTCATTTCCCAAGTGCTTTAGTAATTAGAAGTATTTGGCAAAATCCCAGCCCCTGAAGCAGAACGTTTGTGCTCTTTACATTCTGCCTCCTCACTCCTGTTTGCAAACATTTCCTTTTCCCCAGGAAGGAGCAGGGCATCCTGTAGCCAAGCCAGTCCTGACTCCAGTGGAAGACATTTATGGCCTGAGTTCCCTCACCTGGTAAGCCCCAGCACAAGTATCCCTGGCTGGTATTTGCAGTCACCCACACAATTTCAGAGAGAGGAACTTCTTGGTGTGTGCTCTGGAGCACTTTACCCACTCTGACTCTCTCGTTTGTTCCTAACATAATTCATGGAATCATAAAGGTTGGAAAAGTCTTCTGAGACCACCAAGCACAACCATTAACTGCCAGGCCCAACACTAAGCCGTGTCCCCAAGTGCCACATCTACATGTTTGATGAGCACTTCCATGGATGGTGTTCCCACCACTTCCCTGGGCAGCCTGTTGCAATGCCTCATCACCCCCTCAGTGATGAAACTTTTCCTAATTTCTTACAAATTCCTGCTCTTCTCACTGATGTGTCTCAGCCTCTTCCCTGTGTGCCATTTTCAGTCCCCTTCTTCTGCCCTGGGCTTTGTGTCACTCACTGCCTCACATATGAACTGAAAACAGTATAAACCAGTATATAGAAGTCTCATGAACGTGGAGGCTGGCATGGGATACCCCCACACTGGTCCCATCTTCCATCTGCACATTGCACCCCAGTGCCCCTTGCTGCAGGAGTTGCAATCCTGAGGATGCAGCAGCTTCCCAATGCCAGCAGCTTCCAAGGGTGGTGGGATCTCTCTGTGGACATGTTTGGGATTTCAGCATCTGCTTTCTGCAAATAATTTTGCCTTTTTGTTCAGTTTGCTGACATCAAGGGGCCTCCTCTGTTCGCCATTTAATGGTGTTGAAATGGAGAATGGAGCACAGCCTTGCTCAAGGCTGGGCTCTGCATTTCTGAGGGAATTGCTCCTGGCAGCAGTGCCGTGGGCTCTGTTAGTGGGCTAACACTCTCTGAGCCCTCCATGGCTCTGACTCCACACTTTCTTGTGCTTTTCCTGCAGCTCAGAGCCAGAGGAGCAGACCCCAGACCAACACCTCCCTCCACAGCAGGATGGGCACCGACATCTCCCTCCGGTGGCACAGAGCAAAATGTCCCTGCCCTCGCTGTGTGCCCCAGGGGCACAGCCCCGCCCTGCCAGGGAGGTGCCTCCCATCAGACAGGCCATCTCCTTCGGGGCTCTGAACTTCTCCAGCTGCACCAAGGCAGCTGCTGGCGAGCCCTGGGGTGCTGGGGGTGCCCCTCAGAAACGCTGCAGCTGGGAGCTGGAGCTGCAGCTGCCCCCAAAGGGAGCAGGCAGGAGGGCACCTGGTGCCAGAGCACCTCTGGCATGGACTGTATCGACCCCTCTGGGCCTGGGGCAGCGGGGAGAGGGCTGGGAATGGGATGCAGGGGATGCCAAGCCTGTTTGGAGTCCCCAGTGGCCAAAAGGTCACTCGAGCTTCCAGGATGGATTTTCCCCTGTGGCCCTGAACCCCCCCAGACGAGCAGCAGATGCCCCCTCAGGCCACAGGAAGCAGGGGCAATGCCCTCACCCTTCCCTGTGCTCAGCAGAAGACCCCTACTTCTCATCACTATCTCCAGAGGAGCCTGTGTCCCCCGTGTTTCCCTTTCTGGGGGCGCAGGATGAGCTCCTCCCTTCATGCTCTGCCAGTGCCCCCCTACAGCCCAGCACAGCCAGCTCCCCATCACCCCACCACGCTCCCCTGGACCAGGAGAGGATCTGCTCCTCGGGTACGTGCTGCTGGGACAAGGGGACACATGGGACCAGGTTGCTCTGGACTGGGGCGTGCTGGAGGGAGTGGTTGGTGTGGTCATCTGGTGTCCAGGCAGGGCTGTAGCTTCTCCTCAGGACTGGGCTCTCATGGGAGCTGAGGGAGCCACTGGTTTCATCCTCACACTCTTCATCCTGCCTGAATTTTTTCCCACAAACATTTTTAGAGCAGTGTAATTTTGGGGTTTGCGTTACACAGCTGCTCTGAACCACTGTGTCACCTCAGAACAGCTCTCACAGGGAGGCAGGGGTGGTGCTGACCAATTCTTACACCAAGGTACTCCAAAAAGCATTCAGAAAGCTCCCAGAAATGGTTTTCTCTAAGGAACTAGTTTTCAGGTCTTTGCTGCAGAGTGTCACGTGGGGGACACTGAAATCTCACCAAGATTGAGAGATCCAGGACTTCAGGGGCCCTGAGCAACCTGGGTGACACCCCTGCCCATGATGGGGGTGTTGGATCTAAATGGTTTTAATGATTTTCCCTTCCAATCCAACCCATTCCATGATTCCATGATTCATCACAAGTGTTTTGCCCAGATCTGTAGCATTACATCCACCACGTGTCATATGAGGAAGGTGGAATTATTCCTTGTTCTGGTTAGTCCTGGTTCAATCAGACATTTCCTACTGCCCACACTTGCTCCACTTTGTCCTGCCCAGACCTCTCAGTGTCACAAAGACATGCTCGTTATCCTGGTGTTCTTGGGGACTCCTGGGAGGTGCAGCCCAAGCCAAGCAGCAGCAGAACCACCCACCAGCTGCATGCCTGGCTCTGTGCTGGGTTATGCTCATTTTCCTTGTGCAGTTGGTGCTGGGAGTTATTTGGATGTTTAACCACAGTTCAGAGGTGTTTAACCTCAATCTCTGGTGCGTGGCAGGGCAGGAGCAGCCCCCTCCCCTACACAGCTCTGTGGTCCTCCCATGTCCTGCCATGCCAGTAACCAGTCTGTGTCTCTCCAATCAGCCCCCCTGCCACAGCCTGATGATGATGATGATGATGATGATGATGCTCCACCCCTGCCCCAGCGCACCCCCGAGTCCTTCATTGTGGCCAGTGAGGCAGGTGAGTGATTAACAGCATTAAATGTGGGGCTGAGCAGCACTGGGGGCTCACCCAGCCCCGGGGTGGTTCTGTAGCATCTGGCAGGGCCTGGGGTGAGGAATGATCTCTCTGGTGTTCAACTGCTTCCAGGGCAATTTCCTCAGGCCACTCCGGATTTCCAGATTCCAGACAGAAATCCAAATATTGGAACCTCCTGGGAGTGGAGTGGTGAGTCTCACTCAGAGGGGTTTCATGACCCTGTGAGACTGAGACCATGTAAGGTACAAGTGGCTTTTTACCTCTTTCCTGGCACTATTCCTATGCCAAACTCCTTCGCACGTTTCCTTCTGTGAGAAAGACTCTAGATTTTGGCACTTTGTACTTGCCATAAATTATTTCATAGAATCACAGAATCATGGAATAGTTTGGGTTGGAAGGGAATCTTAAGAAAATCCCATTCCACCCCCTGGCCATGGGCAGGGACACCTTCCACGAGAACAGGAAGGTGTCCCTGAGAACACCTTCCTGTCCAACCTGGCTTTGAACACTTCCAGGGATTCCAGGGCTCAGGATTGGAAAGAAGATGGGGTCTCAGTCCAGCCCCTTCTTATCAACGTCTAATTTACTCCAAACATTATTTTTTGGGATTCTAAAACCAGTACAAGGTAATAGACATATTGTCCCTCATTTAGAGAAGGATAATGAGCATATGACATTAGTTTTCTGCTGAGCTTCACCAGCCCTGTGGAACCAACAGGAGCTGAACAAAATGTAGGCATCTGTTGATGATCCCATAGCTGAGTGACAGCTCTGTGAAGTGGAAGAATGAGGCACAAGTCTGTCTTCCTCTACACAAGTGTGGAGGTGTGTGTGGGAGGGTGTTTGCACATCACATCCTTTCCTCATCTTCTCTGGCTTCCTTGTGTGCAAGAAAACAACATTTGGATGTGGGAATTTTAAATACCTGCCTTGTGTTTTGTTTCCAGAGTGTGAAGCTTTGGAGCCCACGAACAGGTATAAGTTTAACACTGGGATAATCTTTGGAACTAAGACCTGCTTTTTTCCTGAAACTGCTTTATTTAGCAACTGTGTTTAGGATCTGTGCTCAGTGCAACGGAAATTGTTGCTAAATAGTTCTGCATCCAAATAGTTCTAACCAGAACTAAACAGTTCTGCAAACAAGTGAACTGGTAGTTTTATATTTCCTAATCAGCTCCTGCCTCATCCTGTTCATGAGGATGTCCCTTGCAGCCTTCTCTTTGTCTGCATGTTGCGCATTTCCTTTGAGACAACAGAGAGAAGCTGGTTGCTTCTAACACATGTAAATATATATATATATATATATATAAAATTTTAAAGCTAGGTAACCAACTCTTTTATCTTTGCTTTACAGAGACAGCCCAGGATGGCTCCAGTTCTCCTCCTCCGCTCCCTGAAAGAACCCCGGAGTCGTTTGTTCTCGCTGAGGCAGCAGGTGAGTGCTGAGCTCTTTTCTCAGGATCTGACTGATGTTTTACACTCACACCTAAATCTCGAGGTTTCTGAGAGCGTGGCCCACTTGTTCAAAGCATTACCAGGTAGTGCTTCAGCACTTCCCTGCAGGAGAGTTCAGCAAACACGACGAAAATAAACACAAGTAGGGAACCTGCAGAAAATTTCTAGAAGTGCTGCATTAGAGGAGATGAAAAGCAGCAACAAAGCACTTGGAAAAAAGCAGGAGGATTTGTGAATGACCACTGAAAATGTAAATATTATGTATGTTCCCAGGTCTCCAGCCTGCTGCAAGAAATTCCTCGGGTCCTGCAGGTTTAGAGAACAAGGGCTCAGGAACATCCTCCAAAGATCTCATTAAATGTTTCAGGAGGAGCAAGGTAAAAGAAACAAAAGGTGGGGGGAAAAAGGGAGAGAGAAGAGCTCTGGCACAGTTGGTGCTGCTCTCTCACTGGTTACTGGGGGAACAGGGCTTGGTGCTTGTGTTCAGGGCAAGAAAACAAGAATAATAAAAATATTCTGGTGTGGAACTGCAAATGCCCACCCTGTCTGCACTGGGAACGGGGTATCCCAGCTTTGGCATTCCATCCACTTGGGGTTCCAGCTCCCCTGGGAAAAAGCTGCTCCAGTGGGGTCTGAGCCTGCCCTCCAAGGACAGAACCATGGCCAGCCCCCTCTTGCTGCTGTTAATTCTCCCCGTGAGATTGTACTTTGGGATGTAATGGTGGAACAGAAAAGCACTGGAGGAAAACAGCAAGGAAAATACAAACTGCAGGCATTTGGGATGACAAAAAGCCAAAGAGAGTGGCACAAAGTTTGTTTTTTTTATGAAATGTGTACTTGTACAATTTTATGAAGTGTGATACTTGTTTTTATGAAATGTGATACTTGTACATTTACCAGTGAATTCCCACAGTAGCTAATCTATTTATACATGTACATTTATCAGTGTTTTTATACATGTGCATTACCAGCAAATTCCCTTTACCACACTAGCTGATCCGTTGCTTCACACATTTTTTTCTGACTAGCTTTTTTCTATTTTTTTTTTTTACAGAGCTTGAAAATATTGAAAAATGTGAGAAAAAGTAAGTTTTCAGGCTAATATCTTTGCAATGGCTTTAAGCAAGTATTTAAATGTGTGGGACCAGTGACCAGCTGCTCCAGTCTCATTTTTTATTTCTAGGCATCTGCAATCCATCTTCACTGACAAAATCATCAGAACCTGCCCCAACAAACTCTCCGAGGTCTTTCCTTAACTTTGGTATGTTTTGCTCTTCATATTTTGGTAGGAAGAACCTGGTTCTTGGAAGTTTAAAGGCCAGGCAGAACACTTACAAACTACAAATATTTCAAATAATGCTCATTGGGTTTTACACTTTTCGTTTTTACACATTTACAACTTTATTTGTAACTACAAGATGTTGCTTTTCTGTCACATCTTAACCCTTGGGAAAGATCTGAAATTGCAAGTATTTTCAATTCCTGTGTTATTTTAAGGGATTACATAATCAGCATCTGTAACATACAGAATTTGTTGCATTAAAAAACACATAATTTCTTCCTAGGCTTTGCAAATCGATTTTCAAAACCTAAAGGACCAAGAAATCCACCCCCAGCATGGAATATTTAGATGTATTTTACAGACTTGGCGCTGCAGATTTGTGAAGTCATCCTGAAATACTTGGAATGCCCATCCCAGTGAAGCTTCCACCGAAATAAACACATCCAAAGCTGTTACACGGTATTGGCAGCTCAGGCACTACTTGCACATTCACTGAATTTAAAACCGGAGCTTTAAAGTCAAGAATGTAAAAGTACCAGCAGCTTTCCGTTAATTCGCAGTGGGATGGAAGGCAAACCTTGGAATACAAGTTTTGTCCTAAGGAGGGGACATATTTTTGTCGTGTTTTGGAATGTAATCACTTCAAAAGGATGGATTTGAGCACAAACTGATGATGGGACCCAGTGAAGGCTCTGGGATGAACTGGAAAGCCAACGGAGCAGAGAGAGGTGATCAAGACCCTCTCTCACGTTTGTAGGTCTACTGCAATCAAAGATGCTGAAATGTTTACATTACTTCGACTACGAGGGAATTAGCGCCCCAAATTTTAGAAATAATATATATATATATTGGGGTTTTTCCCCATCTGAGTGAATCAGAGCATTTGTCTGGATTTTGGGGCAATAAGACTTAGGATGGTGATTGATCCCATGGAAACTAAATTGGTGTAACCGCACAAGTGGCTGACCCAGCTGCTCTTCTATCTGGGAAAAAAAAAATCCCAAAATACCATGACAGCAAGGAAAATATTATTGTATTTTAAACTAATGCTGTTTTCAAGGATTTGTGATTCTCCAGCACAGAATTTCAGGTGGGAACAGGGAAGATGAGATTTCTTGCCAGGTTTCTCAAAAGATTCCACTGATCAGTGGGGAGGGATAAAGATGCTGAACATTGCTTTATATGATTAATTTCCTGTAAAGACAGGGGGGAAAAAACCCCAAACACCAAAATACCCCACCAACCAAGGTGGGATTTGGGGAATTTGGTCAAGAAGAATCTGCTGACCACTGCTGGAATGGAAAACTCAGCTGGACAGGGTTTGGAGCAACCTGCTGTAGTGGAAGGTGCCCCAGCCCATGGCAGTGGGTGAAACGAGATTTTTAAGTTCCCTCCTGACTCTTTACATTCTATGATTCAATGATTTTATTCCATCCCACTGCTATGGGCAGGAATGGCCTCCTCAGGCTCGCTCCAACAGCTCCACATCATCTCCCTCAAGGGGAGAGCCTCGGAAGCACCCCGCGGTCGGTGTTCAATGGGTGAAGCACTTTAGAACAAGCGACAAACGCCGTTAAAATAAAAGTTTTTGATCCCTCCGCACTCGCCGGCTCCGCGCTCCCTCAGCGCTTTCCCGCCCTCCTCCCGCCGCCCACGTGACCCGCGCCGCGCGCACGCGCCCCCGCCCCCGCCCCCGAACTACACGTCCCAGGGTGCCCCGCGGCGGCGCGTGCGCGGCGGCGCCCGGCGCTCGGGCCATTTAAATGTGTGTGAGGGAGCCCCTGAAATGGCCGCGCAGGTCGCCGCGGTGCCGCGGGCCCCGGAGGAGCCGCCGCCGCCCTCAGCGGACCGGCCCGCCCGGCCGCGCGGGCCCCGCCGCCGGCGAGCGGCACCCGGCGAGCCGCCGGCCGCCAAGCGGGCCCGGCCGAGCCAGCCGCTGCTGGCGGGGCCCGGCCCGGCGGAGCCGCTGCCCCCGCCCGCCCTCCCCGCCGCCGCGGGGCTGTTCACGTTCTCCCCGCTCAGCCTCCCGCCGCCCGGGGAGCGCCGACACCACCACCGGCACCACGCCGAGCCCGCCGGCCACAAGGCGAGGCGCGGCAGCCCCGCGGACGGCGCGGCGGGGCGGCCCAGCCAGCGAGGTGAGCGAAGCGGCGGGGGGAGCGCGGGGTCGCGGGGCCGGCGGGTGCCCCCGGCGGGCTCGGCCGGGCGGGCGGCGGCGCCGCGCTCGGAGCCCCGGGCGCACCTGTGGAGGGGAGCGGGCGGCGGCAGCGCGGCGAGAGCGGCGGCCCTGCTCCGGCCGTGGCGTAGCGGGCACGGCGGTGCTGCCCCGGGCACGGAGCGCGGGGTGGCCGCGTTGCTCCTGCTGCTGTCAGAATCGCCCTCATGGCACGTTCAACGTGCGAGTGCTGGGGGAGTGGAGGCTTCTTCACATTAACGTGTGAGGAGCTGCTGGTTTTTTGGATATTTTTGTTTTTTATTTATTTTTAATGGTTTGTTTTAATAAGTGGCCTGAGAAGGGATCTCGTGATTCCATACGAATGTTTCCAATGCGGTTGTCAGAGGATGGTGCCAGATTCTTTTCAGGGGTGCCCAGCAACAGGGCAAGGCGGAATAGCCATAAACTAAAACACAAGAAGTTCCTCCTCAACATGAGGAAGAATTTCTTTCAATGAAGGGTGACAGAACACTGGAACAGGTGCCCATGGAGTCTCCCTCTGGAGATATTCCAAACCTGTGCCACCTGCTCCAGGTGACCCTGCCTTGGCATGGGGGTTTCACTGGATGATCTCCAGAGGTCCCTTCCAGCCCGAATTATTCTGTGTTTTCTTTTACTGAAATGCCAAAATATCTCTGGATTTTGGCATGTGCTGTGTGTGGTTTTGTTTATTTTTTTTTAACAGTACAGAGTGATTGTTTTGGTTCTGCTCAGAGATTTGTTGTAGTAAAAAGCTTCTTGGAGAGAGCAACATACATAGATAAAAAATAACTGCAAAAGCTACTGTAATTAAAAGTATAATGTGGTGGATTATGCTTGAGGAGTGTATGGGCAGGTTTTGTGCCAAAGAAACCAAAGATGCACTTGCTTACAGAAGTCAAGTGTCTGTGGAGTGAAGTCTATTAAGAACAGACAAGACTATTACCAGGAGAGGCTTTTCTCCCCTGGTTAATGCTTCCACACCACTGTGCTTGAGTACAGCTAAAAAAACTTCTGATTGTAAACCTCTAAAGTTTTATTAGTGTTTATAAAGCAGAAGTTTGGAGCAGTGTAACTTTGTAGACTGGAGTGCCAGTGGGTCAGTTCTAACCCAGAATTAAATTAGGCCTCTTAATGAAGGCTTAAACAGCGTGAAAATGAGCATCAAAATTCCAGATTTGTAAAGGAAAACTGTTTGCTCACATGAAGCTCTTCACTGCCTGTCCTCAGCTGTAGGGGTAGTGCCTTTTGGGATGGGGCTGTGGTTTTTTCCCTATCAATTTTTATTTTGCTGTATAATCTAATTAAATTACCTATTACATTGACTGTGCCATGCTTATCTGTGGCACCAGGTGACAGTGAGCACCCTCACTGTTTTTGCTGTTTAATAATGGCTCTGGTTCTGTTGTGGGATGTCTGATCATTTCAGAGTAGCTGAGTTATTGGCACTGCTGTCACTCTGCCTCACTGCAGAGCCCATAGTTTAGTGACCTGTCCACAGCTTCTTTGTGTTTGAGGTGCTGGAGGCCTTCTGTTTATTTAAAGGAATAATTAAAACTATATTTCCTTCAGGATTGCCAGGCATTATTATAATGTCACTGTTTAGCTTCACTGAATACAGCAGTTACTCACTGTAATAGTGGGACTCTGCTGTGTTCAATGCATCCAGCAGCAGCCAGGGCAGCTTTTATCCTGCAAACAGACAAGTGTTCACTGGAAGCTCCCAAATGCAAGGATTCCCCTGTCTGTTATTAGGATTTGGCTTCAAACAGGAAGATACTCTGGATTAAAATGTGTGAGGTTTTAAAACTATACCTGAAAGCAGAAATGCTTACAATAAGAGACCTTTAACAACCAAATGTTCTTAGAAACGTGCATAGGGAAGTATTCCCAGCAGCACAGTGGTGGCATGGAATCCTTGTTTAGTTGCAGCTTGGGCTCTCTGGTCTCCAGGACAAACACCTGGTGTGTGGATTGCACGTTGCCAGTGAGTAAAGCAGTGTCTGTGCTCAGAGCCAGTGACTGAGCACACCCTGCACTCCTCACACCCGAGTCCTGCAGCAAACCTCGTTCCAAGAACGTTTCAGTTGGCTTCCCAGAGCAAGTGAGACCGCCCTGCTTTTCCTGCTTTCTCTGAAACAGAAAGATCAGGGCCTTTGCTGTTTGCAAGGGCTGCAGCAGCCCGGTGAAAACTTGTATTTCAGGTCCTAAGACTATTGTATGAAGTGAGGATTAAGCAATCAGCTCTTTCTTTGCTCCATGAGTAACTCTGTGCTTTACTCCAGGCTGTAATGAAGGTCAGCCCTCTCCAGTAACGAGACCAAACCAGTAATGATCCAGTTAAACACTGGTTACACTGAAGAACCTGGAGCTGCCTGTGTTTATCACTACACCCTTTCTCATAGAACAGTGTAACGTGGTTTTTTTCTTTAACTTAAGTGCTGTAGGAGAATGAAGAGGGAATACCAATGTGCAGCCAGAGAAAGGAAATTTCTTTAGGACAAAGCCCTGTGCTGAGGGGAAACGGTAAAACTTTAGTTACTGCATCTCCAGGCAGGTTTGCCTTCAGCAGCAGGTTGTTCTCATCCCCAGGGCTATCCTGCTACCACGGCTCCTGGAGATTTATGGGCACTGTTGGATGAAATGGTTCTTTGATTCAGGCACGTTAAAATCTTGTCTTGGCAATTGAGTTTGTAACAGCTGGGCCATCAAGTTTTCTAATTACCTTTGTCCCTTGCTAAATGTTATTTGAATTAGCTTTTCTTCTCGAAAGAAGAACAACTTAAACTATTCCATTTTCCATGACAGAACTACTTCTTTACATTTTATCTCTCAGCCTTTTAGAGGTTGATTAACCTCAAAAAAAACCCCAAATAACTGAAACAGGCTCTTAATTTCTTTCTCTCCATTAACTGAATTGTTAACTATAAGACTGAATCTGTTGATGTGATGATTTGGGTCCTTTAATTTTAAAAGATCAGCGATCTAAGCTTAAATGTTTTCATTTCTAAGTGTAAGTAAAGCTTGTAGCTCTTCAATGCTACTCTGTTTGCTTCCCTATCATGTATCCAAAATCAGGGAAGTGTTCTGTAATGAAAGTCTTAATGTTTAAATGTTACACATACTTGTTTATCCTCTTCCCCTGTACGGCACTGCCTTAAATGTCAGAAGTTATTAATGTACTTAATTATAGATGCTCTGAAATACAGACTCCTTTTAAAGGTATTCTGATAAATCTGTTAAAAATTGAAGTATTTCTAAAACATTAAGCTAGAATTTTGGAAGGTTTCCTTAATTCAAGGCTTTATTTGTATAATTATAGATACCCTGACTTCTGACTTAATTATACAACCAAAAATGCAATGTTTTACAATTGGTCAGTCTCCCTGGGAATAGATCCCTTCAGCAAGTGAGAGGCCTGAATTCTTTTGGGGTGAATATGCTGCAACTGCAGAACTCTAATCTTCTCTTTATTGTCGCTGCCAGAAACTCCAGATGAAAATGGCAAAACCCAGCGAGCTGACAGTCTTATTGTGAAGAAGATCAAGAAAAAAAAGAAAAAGAAACACCGGGAAGATGTGAGGGGCAAGCGCCTGAAGATGTACAACAAAGAGGTGCAGA